GGGGGGAGGAAGCGTTTAAGAACTAGAGGAAGGTTGTGTTTCATTATTGCTATACTGAACCCTGAGTGACTCATCTCCTCTCCTCTACCCCTCTGTAAGGGATGTCCAGTTGTCTACAGATGGGCATTGGGTCCCCATCACGTGCCACCATCATTCACGATGATATGATCCTCCGCCCCCTGCCTTTGGTGCTTGTAGCCTGGTCCCCTCGGCCCTTCATGATCACACATGTTGGTGTGCTGCTTCCATGTGGGCTTTGTTGCTTCTGGGCTAGATGGCCGCTTATTTACTTTCAAGCCTTTGAGTCCCCAGACGCTATAGGTCTCGATATGGGCTGTAATCTTTATGGAAGCAGATCACTGAGTCTTTCTTTGCTGTTGCCTCTGGGTGGGTTCAAACTGCCAACCTTTGGGTTAGCAGTTGAGTAGAAACCATTTGCACCACCCAGGGTCGCTTGTGGATGCCACAGGCACAGACTATAAGAAACTTAACCACATTCCTAAATCCGCCAAAAAAAAAACCAACCATATGATGCAGTAGAAAGGGTCTTTCTACAACATACAGAAGGCTCTGTGGAGACTGTAATTCACTTTGTTTTTCTGCCACCACTGAACAGCCCCCGAAATAGTGCTGTGTCTAAGATGCCACCCATTGAAATATCCCCATGTGCATCATCGCATGAACTGAACCTACTCGACTGTTCCCGGTTTTCCACTACTCTAGGCTGCCTGCTTCTGGGAAGACCAGCAGTCTATTATGTAAACACCAGTAGCTGATTACTTTCCCATTTAAGCTCCCAATTCACCTCCCGCGGGCTCTCTTCCTGACTAGTTTTGCCTCTTGGTTCCAGATGTGATGAATATGTCACACAGTTGGATGAGATGCAGAGACAGTTAGCAGCCGCAGAGGACGAGAAGAAGACTCTAAACACTTTGTTACAAATGGCTATCCAGCAAAAACTCGCCCTGACCCAGCGGCTAGAGGACTTAGAGTTTGACCATGAGCAGTCCCGACGCAGCAAAGGCAAACTTGGGAAGAGCAAGATCGGCAGCCCTAAAGTAAGTGGGGAGGCATCAGTCACCGTGCCCACCATAGACACTTACCTCCTGCATAGGCAGGGCCCACAGACACCCAACATTCGGGTCTGCAGTGGCACCCAGAGGAAAAGGTATGCATGCAGCGATCTTCATAGTATGGTGCACTGGCCAGATTTTAGTTAACCACGAAGATGTATGTGTTCTTATTGTAGAGGGTGGAGGAGGGGAAGGAAAGGGGGGAAATGGGAGCCGGGCATGGGGACTGTGCTAATGTGGGGTCTTTCCAGATGAAAACCTGTTGCGAAGTGTGTTTATATACCACCTCCATCCCACCTCTTGATTAACCATAATGTAATTTTCATGTGTCTGTCAACATTTTTGTTGCTCTTTCTATGCACAAATATGGCTCCCTTTTGCCCCCAACCTGAAAAAAAAAAAAAGCTTGTATATTAAGAATAAAGCACTGTTTTACAAGGGTTACAATTTTAAAGGTCAACGCGCCTCTCTCTGATAATGGTGCTAATCTGACAGCTATCTTGATCAATGGGGCAAAGAACTGAAACGTTCTCTTGGGGGAACCTCTGACCGTGTCACCGAAACTGAGAGCCGGCAGAAAGGGGGGGTCTATATTTGTGTACCGTGGAGCAGAATATTTATAGTTCTTTGCATAAAAGTAGGTATGCGAATATTGCTAAAAGAAACCACTTGTAAGTTTCTTAGTGACTTGAATGTGTGACCTTTTGCCAGGATCCTGGATGTTGAGTTACTTATCTTATAATGGTCAAAATTTCAGCTAATGGTAAAAATTTTAACTTTTGGAGCCTTTAGTAAAGAATCAAATAATACAAGTATGTTCTACTTGCGGTTCAAGCTGACCAGTAATTATAATGAGTCTCTTTTCCACCATCCAAGACAGTTTCCAAATAGAGTTGCATCCTGGTGTTTTGTTTAAAACAAACAAACAAAACAAAACAAAAAATGGGGGAGGCAAAAAAAATCTTGATTTATATGTCTTAAAAATTAAGTGACAGTCTAAAGAATGTTATCGCGGGTGAGGCGTTGAAAGGTAATTAAAGTAAAACTTTTTTGTTTCCTATATGTATTTTTCTTGGATCTCCTGCAAGACAATTTTCACCTTCCCTTTGTGATCAGAGCCGTCCCAGGACTTCAGGGGCTTCCTACCTACAGCATTTATTAAGAGTCCCCCCTGATCCCACCTCCACAGAATCATTTCTTCTGAAGGGCCCCCCTTCCATGAGTGAATTCATCCAAGGGCAGCGGCTCAGCAAGGAAAAAAGGTTAACCGTGGCTCCACCAGGTAAACATTTTTTCCTTGGGTGCATGTGATGCAAGTGATTAGTTAAATAGACACCCTCCCCTTCCTTCCATTCACTCGTGCCTGCCCATCCGTGGAGTCTAACGAGTGACCTGACAATTCCTGCGGTGAAAGTAAAAGCCCCTGTGCGCGCCCAGCTTGAGGAGTTCGCCTTTCTTTTGGGTCAGATTCTAGTTGTTTAGGCATCTCCAGGGACTTCTTTTGAACAGCCCAGGATGGAAACTGAGGGTTGGAAGGAATGGGATAGGTCAAGGGACATTAGTAGCAGGCACAATGCAGGACACACACCTGGATCGTACATGCAACTTGGTAGCTAATGGCAAGTCCATTTTGGTTAGATTCTGTCATTTTGTTTGTGGCATTTTTAATGTAATATCTGTAAAGGGAGCCATCAGCCATCTCTATTAAAAAGCCTTTTGGGCGAATTTCCTTTTGTAGCGGCTCAAAATGTCTCCCTACCCAGCATATAGAAAATAAGAATAAACTCCTTCCAGTGTTTGCTCCTCAGGAACATGGATGTGGAAGTGGACTATTCTTGTAGTTTGCAAGCCCGTACTGAGTGATGCTTACTAGTATGGCTAGACAATCCATAAAACAAAATAAGCTCAAAGGAAGCTGTTATTTGGTTATCAGAGGGAATGGGAAAATGAAACTACTTCAAATTAGTTGTCAACAGTTGAAAATCAAGATATTATATGTGAGCATCTCTATGTCTGCCCTCTTTGGAAGGTTTTGAGGTCTGGCAGCCCTGAGCTTGCATTTTTGCATGTCAGCAAATCGCCTGGGCCGTGTAGGGTAGGAAGTGCTGCTGTTAGACAGGAAGCTTTCTGGTTTTTACCACACTCCCCATCGCTCCCTATTACCTTATACCTAGCCTGCTGGGTATAAGGCCCCTCTTGTAACCTTTTAGTTTGGCACCTTTGCTACAGAACTTTTTGTTTTTAATTTCCTGTCCTCCTACCTAAGTTACTTCAATTTTACCTTAATTCCTTTTTGGAAACCTCTGCCTTTGGGGCTCTAAAACTTTCCTTTCTGAATCTTGTAATCAGTTTACTGATGCTGGTTAGAAAACGACAGGGTGGAATCTTACCGCATGTGCTCAACATTCTAAACACGGTTGAGGACATTGGTAGAAAGACAAAATCAGAACATTGGAGCTAAAATGGACCCGAAGACATCATCACCAATTCCAAGGGGTTGCTAATACTTCAAACTCGTTTCCTATTGTTTTAGAACCTGTTGGAAAGTACCTTTAAAGATCCCACCAAAGTGGTAATGATTCATCAGGACACAACTTGGATGCCCCACACCCACTGCCAGCTAGTCTGTTCTGACTCATTGCACACCTGTCGAACAGCACCACACTGCCCTCTAGGGCTTCTAAGGTGGCACATCTTTATGGAAGCAAATGAATACATCCCCCTCCCCACCCCACCCCTAAGTTCAAACTCCCTACCTTTGGACTTATAGCCCAGCGCTTAACCACTGCGCCCCCTGAGCTGTCTTGTTGAGTGTTTCAACTGCATTTCATAGCACTATCTACTAGAACTTAGAAAATAAATGGTATGCACAATTAATAATCACTACTACAGTTGAACAAAAAATAAAATTAAAATAGTGATAAGTATCAACAGTAACTGCTTTATTTTTGCATCTGACCATTTGATCTTTGTTCATTTGAGTGTATGTGTAACACAATTATTGTCATTACATTGTGGAAAGGATTGACATTCTATCATAAGCTTTTCCATGTTGCTACATAGTCTTTGTTTTAAAGATTGTTGTATCAAACATTTTGTTTCAAATGTTATGTTATGAATCAGTGCTTGCTTCCGAGTTGTCCGCTGAGGTAGAAGACTGCTGGGCATATCATCGTATCTACAATTTCTAACTACTCCTTTTTTTTTCCTCAAGTGAGATTATTGGCTTAAAATATGACCATCTTTATGCTTTCTTTTAAATTTTGGTTTTGTTTTTCTCCTGTTTAGTTTTGGTATTGTTCTCTTTCAGGGTATATCAATACATTAAAAGCTTCAGAAAATATTTTCTTCATTTCACACATTTTGAAAATTTTTACTGCTTAATGCACACTTTTCTCTTTTTTTATATAATTAAATCATTTTATTGGGAGGTTGTACAGCTCTTATCACAATCCACACATATATCCATTGTATCAAGCACTTTTGTACATTTGTTTCCCTCATCATTCTCAAAACATTTGCTTTCTATTTGAGCCCTTGGTATCAGCTCCTCATTTTACCCCCCTCCCTCCCTGCTCCCCCCATGAACCCTTGATAATTTATAAATTATTATTATTTTGTTAATGCACACTTTTCATATCCTCTACCTCTGCATTTCTTTGGGTGAATGTAGGTACCATTAAATTACCTTAAGTGCTTTAGTTTGGGATAACCATAGAAGGTTTCTGGCTTTAGAAACGATTGCTGTACACAAGACTGGCGCTATAAACAACATAGAATTAAGAATCATCACTAGCCCAGAAAATCACTTTAATAACAATATAGCATGTGGAGAAGCTTTATGCTTTATTGTAGTATTAAATTAAAATGGCACAGAGGTGGGGGACCAGCCCCCACCGCTAGTCGCGGGTTCAGTAATACTACTTCTGGGTTCAGTAATGCACAATTGTACGGTTGAGATATATAAGCGTTATATTAAAGTCATCGAGAGCATGAGAGATATTACAATAATGCAGTCAGACATATTACATGGTAGTATTGCTCACCTCAGCCCAGCTTGGTGGTCCACGTGGAGAGAGGGGAAGGGAAGGAGGACGGGAAGGGGAGCAAGGGAGAGAGGACAGGAGAGGAGAGGGGGAAGAGAGGGGGGTGACTAGAGAGTCAGCAGCAAGGAGGTCAGAGAAATCAGAGAGCTCTATATTGCTGACTCACACCTATATACCTTTTGGGGGCATGCCACCCCACTAATTACAGGTAGAGACATACGTCACAGGGAGGGGTTACACTATAGGTAATACAGCAATGAGAGGGTGGTTTAGGGGGTGGTCTCTGGGTCTCCATAGGAGTCATTATCAATAGGGTGAAAACTCCGCCTACAGGAGCCTGTCCATTGTCCCTAGGGGCAGGGAGCAGGTCCACCCGTGTGGTGGGATGAGACAGCAGTCTGGCAGCTGATTGCCCTCAGAGTGGGGGAATGCCTGTGCACCTGACCTCCCCCCACACTTTATATTTCTGACCATTTATCTTATTTCTAACTGTTTATTTCACCTTAAAATAATAGAAGAAAATCATAGAAGAAAAGTCTTCAGATTTTTCGATTTATATATCATGCAATCAACTAGGCTAATTTAAAATAGATTATTAACAGATCAAGCCAGCAACATTTTCTAAACAATCTGATTAAATGAATTATTGTAGAAGTTGATTGACCTCAATACCAAACAAATTGTAGCTTCTAAAAATAGCTGAATTGTTGATATGTTATTTTTTTCCCTTAGCTGAATTACATTAGCTAAACCAAATTGAACATTATGTTTTATGAAGTGCCTTAATTAAATTGAGAAAGAGAAATTATGCCACATACAGTCAGCCTGATATTATACAAGAAGGTTAAAAACTCACAACTGTCTAGTAAATTCCAGTTCACAGCGACTCTACGTGAGGGTCCCAGTGCTGCAAGTCTTTCTATGAGCAGACAGCTTCTTATTTTTACCCCACAGAGCAACTAGTGTATTTGAACTACTGACCTTGTGGTTAATAGTACAAGGCTTACCTTATAATGCCACATGCCTTAAACAAAGGCCAATAATAGTTCCTATGAGTATCTTCTTTGTTTCATGAGTTTAATATGTTACAAATTATTGTAAAATTTACTGGTGAGTAACAATATGCATTCATGATTTTTTTCAAGATCAATTTCATTTTAATTGATCAGATAAGTGATATATATTTGGAGTATATCTTTTCAGAAAATTTCAATTAGTCTAATAAACTCATTGGGAGGTCACTTTTCTATTGAGGACCATTGAAGCAATTATATCAAAAATAAATTAGTTTGTGTTCCATCTTTTGGTTACGCAATTAAGAGACAAGTATAATGTACATTTTAAAATCCAAATACTAACAGATTTTATAAGAGGTACTTCCACATAGATTTCAATTCGATGAGCTGGTCCGCAGGAAATCTCCTCTTCTTAAGGCGCAGTCTTCCAGTCTCTGCAGAATGACCCCAGGGTGGAGCACTGAGTTCCAGTGTTACCCAGCTCGCCCTGTGGGGGCAGTTCTGGTCGGGGCCTTTGACTGTGGTTCAGCCTCTATTGCCTCAGCCCCTAAAATTCAAGTTTCTGGCCACATCTTGCTAACTTTTTGTTCCTGACCTAACCCTTCCCTGACGCACAAACGTCACTGTGCTCTCACCGGCCCCTCAGGCTTAGTTTTTTCGGTCTCAAATACTAATCGACAGACTAATCTGACAAGCGCTTACAGCTTTCATGGGCTTAAAACGGACCCTTTGGCCATCAAGGCATTTTCAGTCTAGTAGCAGACTATCTTCCCCTTAATCATTGTCTACAGTCACCATGTTATCCGGCTGCCTTCCCCACCTAGGCCTCTATCCTAGCAGTAGTCTTCCCACGTCATCAATAATTACAGCTAGGGTACCAAAATGTGTCAGAGGAACCCATCTGATTGATAAGAAAGAGATGATATTTCTGTCATCAAGATCTGAAAAAGACGTAAGTGTAAACTCTCTTCTTGGAGGACTGGCCGAAGCCATTTGCTCCTTGCGCTGTCCTTTCTTTCTGTAGGAGCCTTTCCTCTGGGAGCTTTGCTTTCATGTGTCATTTCCATTCCCCTCATCCATTCTTCCCCTTCCCGTTATCCCCCACCCCCCACTCCACAACGTGATTACTGAGCTAGAGTGAGGGAATGGTATTATTTCAAAATCTAAGATTGTTCTCTGCTAGTTTATAGTTTACATTTTGGTGAGTGTCTTGACCTTAG